CCTGTACCCCACGTAGTCGCTGGTTACCGGTTACTGATCGGACTAAGTTCCAGGTACCTGGACTGGGGCTGGTGCGGGGAGGTTGGATCCCGAATCGCACAGGTGGCTCAGAGAATCACGGTTTAAAATGGCCAGTGGGTTCGCCTCTTCTTTCTCTAGAGAAGGCCACCATTTCAAAGATGCCCTTCTCATGCTCATCACGGTAGTCCCTTCAAGAACGAGCACTCAAGGCCAGAGTCGTCTTTCTCCTCATCTGGCTCACCCTTTGGTCCCTGATTAAGCCCACAGGATCATCCCTCTTTTCTGCTTAATAAGGGGATGGTACAGTTTCGAGGGGAGAGTGTCCCCTTTCAGATGTTCCCCGGGGGAGGGACGATTATTTTTGGGCCTGAACCGATTTGCTTTTCCTGATGTTGCCCCTTGGAGAAATTGCGTCCCCTGTGTAACTTCCCTCGTGCGCTGTATGACGTTGACGTGACGCAGCAGGAGGCCACCCCTTTCCGTTCCGTGACGTCAACCGGGCGCATGTTTCCGTGTTTGTCATCCTATCCTAATTGCGAGAGCCTGGACAGTGCTTCAGACGTCTTTGTTTTCCCCAGGCAGCCCACTGAAAGACCGTACTTTACTTTATTTTTGGGCCGCAGACCTTTGTAAAAATTGTATTTTTGCATTTTCCTTCTGTAGTACGTCAAAACCCAGGAAATACAAATTGCAGAGCTGGCATTCAAGGCAGTCTAGCCACCCCCAATTTCTGCTTCTCCGTGATGTATCACAGGGCTGCCATGTATTATTGGATACCCTCCTCATTGTGTCCCTCTTCGCTGCACCAAGGGAATCATCATCGTTGGCTATTCAGTGATCTGTGATTCTGAAATCAGTATTCAATATTTTCCCCACTTTGTCAGAAAATTCACATCTCTATTATTGAAACATTTAATGCTGAGTGAGATCTTGCACTGTCAAAAGATAGCATTATGGCTGTTTTGAAAATAAAGACATCAGCTCATTCCCTCCCGGTGTCATTACAGAATTGTGACAGTTGCTGAATTCAAATAGGTTGTTGTCACCTTTAGTATGGTTTGCCTTGGGGCAGCTAGTGAATCATTCAGGCCAACTTCAGCAGTATAGTTTATTTCTAATTGTGGAGCAATCATTTGTTTAATATAACTTCATTTTGCATGATGTATGCTAAAAAAATCACCTTGATGCTTTCCTCTTCAGTCACTAAAGTTATTAATGTTTACTTGAGAGGGAGCTAAGAATAGTGGACTTTTAAGGGAGGTCTGGATTTAAATTTTTAGTTTTCTTTTTTGGTACCAGGGATCGGAACTCAGGCCCTTGTGCTTGTGTGGCAGGCGCCGGAACCACTGAGCTAAATCCCTGGCCCTAGTTTTCTTAACTGTAAAATAGGAACAGAATTCACCAAGGAACAGAGTTGTTGGGAGAAAATGACGTTATAGGGAGGGATGAGTAATATGGAGCTGATAGTAGATATTGAGAATGTATTGCTTTTGCTTGCTTTCTTTTTTCTTTTTTTTTTGGTGGGGGGGGAAGCACCAAAGAATAATTTCATAATGTGAAGTCCTTTTGCTTTTTTTGTGAAATGTGTATTAGTGTTTTCATATGATCTAGATAAGCATCCCTTCAGGAATTGACAGCAATGGACATAAATAAAAGTAGGAAAATAAACACCCTGTCTTCAAAACAATAATATGGCTTAGTATACTATTCAAAAGGAAACTAAAAGTTACCTATATCACTTGTAAGATGGGAATTAAAATATCTGCCTTATTACCCAGGTTGTAAAGAGCAACTGCAATGGAAGCCATAATTCCCAGCCCTTTTTATTTTTGAGACAAAGTCTTGCTGAGTCACTCAATTGCCCTTGCTGGGCTTGAATTTAAGATCCTCCTGCCTCAAGTCTTCCAGGGTGCTGGGATTATAGCCCCTGTGCCTGGCTGCACATGATTTTTACAACTGATAGTACAGTATATGAAATGTTTATTCTTACCTTGTGATGATATATTAGAATGGTGGGGGAAGTCACCTGCTAAGGGGCCAGGAGAGGAGCTCGCTTTATATTTGCAAAAAAAGATGATTTGGGAGCTACAGTGTAAAGCAGTTACCACTGCAAAGGTATTCCTGGGTGTTATCACTATATACTTTCAAACGTTACTAGTTTTTGAATGCTCACTGCAGTCTTTTATTACTCTCTGAAATGGTTACTTAAAACAAGTGCTAGTTTTGCACATTTGTTTTAGCAGGGACTTGTAAGTTGTTACGTGGTATAACAACTGAAACCTAGCACCAGGACATTAGTTATTTGCAGTTGTAACTGCCTTAATTTGTTTTTGATATGGGATTGTCCATTCAGATTGAGGAAGAAAATGGTAATTTGAATCAACTTTTTCACCTCTGAAATTGGAGGCTTTCATTTAAAAATCTATTAAGAAGAATTCATACTACCTCCAGCCCCATAAGTTTCTAAGTAATTTATATATGACTTACTGGTTTTGCATTGTATTTTCAAGAATAAAAATTTCCTAGTACCTTAAAGGCAAAGACTAAAGGATCTATGTTACTCTTTGCTGTTTAATATTTGAATAGGTCTGTATTTTGTAGTTCGTTAGATTTTTGCCACATTTATTCTTCAATTTTTGCTATATTTATTCCCCTATCAGTTTCATTTGAGGGCATATGTTTTCTCAACTCATAAATATTTCTCTAGCTTTTGTGACCTTGTTCATTCATTAAAAAATGTTATTGAATGCTTATTGTGTGTCACGTACTTTTGTTAAACAAGAGAGACTCAAGATACGTTCCCTGCAGGAGAGAGCTCACATAAGCAGGTAGTTGTACTCTAGAGAGACCTCTATCGAGGGAAGTACATCAGCAGCAAATAATTTCTAGTAATAATTACAAGCAGATTTGCTTGTTCTTGAATTTTATGTGTTATTATCATGAAGTTCTTAGACCTTGAGGGATTCCCAACCCAGTGGTGTATTTTGTAGGTCAGGGGAAGAGCATTAGTGAAGGCCTCTTGATTTCAGCCAAAGTAGCAGAGCCAGTTAGTTGTAAGACAGAACAGCTTTATTTATTTTTTGTTTCATTTTTTATTACTATTATTTTTTTCCTTGTAAGTCAGGGACTTCCTAAGTTGATCAGGCTGGCCTTTATAAACTTTTATTACCGTTGTTTCCTCTTGTTTTTAGTGGTGACTTACAAGTCAAGTCGAAATGTCCCCAGAAGTGGCCTTGAACCGAATTTCTCCCATGCTCTCCCCATTCGTATCTAGCGTGGTCCGCAATGGAAAAGTGGGACTGGATGCTACAAACTGTTTGAGGATAACGGACTTGAAATCTGGGTATGTATAAGAACTAATTCAGTGCTTGAGCCAGAAACAATTCAACCTTTAGCTAACAGTAAATCTCTCGTGCTAGACATAAAAATTATATCCCACAGAAACTGATTAGGTCATGATCTTCTCACATGATTCAGTGATATATACAATTTTTTTTTGTGTGTGGGCTGGGATTGAACCCACGACTTCATGCGTACTAAATAAGTGGTCTACCGCTAAGCCATGTCCCCCGCCCGATTCCATTTGCTTTATTTAGTTCTTGACAGTTTATAACTCATGTTATTTTGTGTTGCAGGCCATTACTTTTTTTTTTTTTTTTTTTTGTTACCGGGGATTGAACTCGGGTCCTTGAGCTTGCAAGGCAGGCCACCAAACCCCTAAGCTAAATCCCCGGCCCATGCAGGCCATTACTTTATGGCCAGAATTTGCATTCTGTTTCTGGCTTATCTCTTTGTGAACGGTGTGCCATGTGGATTTCACCCAGTGTGTTTTTCATTCATTGGCTTGCTTTCTTGTTTACTGCAATCCAGAATACACGATAAGAGTTCAGTTTGAGATTTTGCATCTGACATCACTTGATAATTTCTCTTAATATGAAAATTATAATAGCTAACCAAAATGAGTCATTCTCACAGTGAGGTTGAAACACCAAGACCTCATACTTAGAAATGATGCATTGAAAAATATCTTACTTTGGAATAAAATTGGATTTTACTTTTTTAGAAAAGTACAATAGCAAATCAACATTCTTTCAATATTGTCTATAGGTCCTATTTGAGTATTGCTGGTTTTCCCTTTCATGTCCTTTTTTGGGTGCAAGATCCAGTCCACATGTAAATTACATTTAGTTGTGAGGTCTTCTTAAGTCTGCCTAGTCGATGACAATTCCTTAGTTTCTTTGTCCTTAGTGACGTTGACACTCTTTAAGAGCATTCTCTAAAATGTCCCTCCATATGGGTTTATCTAATATTTTCCTTTCCTTAGGGGGAGAAATACGTTTCCTCCCATGCATACTTTAGATCTCAGTGCATTAGGACAGGGCATTCATGATGTTCTGTGCCTTTTTACTGGTATGTTAACTTTGATCACCTAGTTAAGATTATATGAACCAGGTGTTTTTCATAGTAAACTGATCTGACTTCCTTTGTAATTAGGGTCTTATGGAGCAACAAGACTATGCTTTTGTCCATTTTCTCAGCATACTTTTGTCCATTAATTTTAACGTCCACTGACAGCTCTTGTCTGTACTTGTTACTACTCTGGGGCTTGTCTAAGACTGATTTTCTGTTTCCTTCATTTCTTCCACATTTTAAAATTTGAATCCCATTGTAAGGAAGCACTGTCTTTTTCCCCTTGATTATTCACTTAGTAAATATAATGCTCAGTCATTTGTTTATGTCAGTATGAATTTTTAG